AAGGCCAAACAACAAATGTACAAAGCAACCTATATAAGTATGATCACTATGTGAAAACGAAAAGACAGCTACTATTTATTGCGTGATAAAGAATGTAGAACTTACTGTAAAAGGTGTAAAACGGAACACAAAACAATAAACTGCTCAAAAATGCCGTGATGAATTCGGAGCGTCAACACTGTAAAAGGTGTAAAACGGAGCACAAAACAATAAACTGCTCAAAAATGCCAATTTTTACTTATTTAGTTTTAACTGTGCGGCAATTTCAAAGTGTGATCAAGTCTCCCTTGGGATCAAGTATTTCCACTATCCCTTAAGAGCTAATTGACTTGTATATTTTAGTTGTTTTATGGTTTTAACTTAGACTAGATAATAGAAAGAGAGGACTTATAACGCCGTTGAAAATCTTGTTCCATTCTGACACTAACGATATTCTACCAAAGGCGTAACATGTTCGAAATAAAAAAACGAACTTGTATTTATTTATGTTATTAGTTCTTAATTGATCTTTTTAGGTATAAAGCAAGTTCAAGGCGTAAGATTTAAAATAAATAGGAAACAATAAACAAGACACAAGAAAAAGAATATATTGAAATAAACTGAATGAAATCGTTTACATAATAAAATAAATGTTTTTTTTTTAATTCCCAAAATAAAACATATTGATCTACATGTATTACAAAAAGATTTTTTTTACTTAATAAAGAATGACACTACCCAGATAGCACAGACACGTTTTAAAGACATCTTAAATACGTTTGTTCACGACGTTCGTGACGTTTTAAAGATCTACGCTAATATCCAAAAGATGTTTTAAAAGCGTCTATAGGACGTACATTGTTACAAAACAAGGAGTCTTTAGGACATCCAATTTTGTACGTCTTTAAGACATCCAGTTTTGTACGTCTTTAAGACAAATCGTATTGGACGTGTTTAAGCCGTCTATTTACTTGATGGAAATTCATTTAAAAAATAAATGAATACTTGTCTACTATATTTAATACTGTTTATTATACATTATTAAACTATCAAAACTGACACAGAGTAAATATTATTTTACAGTGTTGTAAAAAATAATTAGAAAATGACTTCAAGTACTTGTTGCTATGAGAAGCTATTCCCGAAAATCCTACTTTTTTCCACGATACACATACTAAAGGTATGCTGACTTTCGATTCAAAATTCGTCCAAATCGCGCATGACGTAATACGGATGAACTTTCAAGTTATTTTGACACTTTTCGATTGAATAGTGTAAAATAATTTAATAATTTATTTGTTTTTATGTTAGTAGTGACTATATTTTCCTATATATAACAGGGAAGAACTAAATTAATGTTTAAAATGCCGGGCTGTGCGGTGGAGATATTTCCGAATGCCACAAAATATGGGTAAATTCTTATCGAAGAAAGGACAAACTTAATTGAAGTTGCCCTATCCACTTTTAGGAAAGTAGTTGTAAGATTCCTCTTAAACATAGACGCAAGAAAAAGAAACTGAATCCCACCAGGTGCAAGAAGCAAAGAAAATAAATCGGTATTTAAAAATTTTAGCAGATAAAACAGTAGTTTCCTGTCCCAAAACAACGGTCCTTTTGAAGTAATGCCATGCATGAGTAGGACACGCACATATATAAGAATAAGATAAATAAACAGGAAAATTGGTTTTGAGTATTTTCAAAGTAAACTTGACAAAGAATGTTTAAATTTACCAAATAAAAAGTAATATTTTTGTGTACTTACTTTTTATAAATAAATAATTTGTTTCTGCACACTTATTTCTATTTCACATAATAAGAAAAGAAATTGCAAGAGAACTACCACGCCCAGAAAGTACAAATTTGTGTCAAACTTGTAATTTTAGTCTATATCTTTTAATTATTATCTTATGGCAAGGTTATGGATTTTGTTACAAAATACCTATAATTTATGAGAAAAATTAATATTTTTAGTATTACTTACCTTAAACCTTCATATTTGTAAAAGAATTTATTACAAAATAACCAATAAAGTTTAAGTAACTGCATAAAATCTAAAATTGGCAAAATATCGAATTTTAAACAATATCTCCCATTTAATGCTTATAATTCTATGTCCCACGTGACGTCACCGTCAGTCAGCTGCATGCGCAGGAACATACCGTTAGTCTGTGTATCGTGCTTTTTCCAGTTTGGTCGATTTAAAAATTTCTTTTATGGTATTAATTTGTTCCAAAGCGTCTGTAACTAATGTCCCCGTAGGTTATAATTTTGTTGAATTATTGTTTTAAGGTGTTTTTCTAAAAAATAAGACATTAAAAAAAGTGAGATTATGAAATTAAAAGGCAAATAAATTAAAACTTACCGTTTTTAATAACAACGTTTACTAGTTCCGGTATACCTAAGGTCCAATAATGGCAAATAAATAATATAAAAAGACAATATATAAAAACTCACAACTACGAAAAACTAATGACAATGTCGACAGACTGGCGCTAAAAATATTATACAATGGCTGTCCCGAGAAGAAGGTAGCCAGAGGAAGAACACGACTCGATACGCGCGCGCGTGACTATCCAATCAGCCAATGACAATGACGAATGACGATCATACATGCGCTGCAGGCAGCGCCAAGAACGGTGTCGTGGCGCTATATTCAAATATAGCGAAAAGAGTTGAACGTCCACATTACTGACATATTTAAAACGTCCTAAAAACATCCCAACAAGGACGTTTTACGTTTGGACGAAAGTAAGACATGAACTGGACGTCTTTAAGATGTAGTGTGCTATCTGGGTATTATTAAATTAAACTAGTAAAAAAATTATACATAAATAAAGATAAATTTATTACTGACCCTTAAATAATACTAATTTGGTATAAGAACAACTCTTTTTTTATATCTTTGAAGTTTTTGTTTATGAACTTTGATTTGTCTTGTTTTTTCTTTATTCTTTTTTACTTGTAAAAGATGTCTTCTAAGCTGTTTTATGCTAGGTCTTTCTAGGACAGATTCCTTATTTTCATTTGTATTTGAAGGGCCTGTCTCAGCTTTCAAATGCAATGCTCTTCTTTTTAAGTCCTACAAACAATCAATTGTTACGGTAATGTTTTGAATTATACACAAAAGGGTTGCTACATTCTTAAAAGTTCATAACATAATAATAAAA